ATATATATATAAGAGTTTGATTTTAATTCTTTATATTTCATCACAATATACTATTTTATTTGTCTATTGTGTATACTTATTGTTTGCTTGAATATTTTTTCTTTTTTGCTTTGTGTTGTCTGAATTATCTCATATTCATATGATTTATGATAAGCACTTAAAAAAAGGCATTTTTTGCATAGTTTGATAAAATGATTAAAATTAAATCTAAAAACTTATTTTCTTAAAATTATAACTCTCTTGATCTATTTTTAATTTAAGAATGTTTTTTTTTTTAAATGTTATCAATGAGATACATGACAGAGTTTGTTGGCGATAAAGTACCCACGTGCTAGTGTATTTTTATAACATAATCTTATCAACATGTATACATTTTTTTCCCACTTAAAGATAGACTTGAAATATGTTAGATAGTGACAATCTCAATCTAGACAAAATTATAAGTTTCATTAGATAGCTATAATTTCACATAAGTGGATTATTTCATTCTTAGTTTTCTTCTTTTAAAGTTTTTTCTTACAACTATAGATTATATGTTCTGCATCATTCTAATTCATCATTTCGCTATCATTTGCTTAAGAATCTTAATTATTTTTCTCATTGAGTTACTTTTTTAAGAATCCTTAATTTGATATCATGAGATCAACTATGAATGATGCAATTCATGATTATTGATAGAATATCTCATAGCTAGATTGGGTACAAATACATTTATTTTTCTTAAATTTCTTTCAATAGCCTAAGAAGTCAATTGATTTTATAAAATATTTATAAAAACTTACAACTAAGAAATTAATGTTCTTGAATGTTATGATATATAGAAATAAAGCTATACTCTAATGACACAAGATATTAAAATAACATTAATTAATAGTTCTATTCAGTTGTCATAGATGATATCTTCGCTTGGGCTAAGGATCTCATGATTCTCACCAGTAGGGGTGTAAATGATTTATATTTCGAGCTCGAAAGGTGTGTTCGTGTTCGGCTCGTTTGCTTAGCGGGCCGAACACGAGCCGTTCCTGAAAAAAAAGACGTTTT